AGTGGTAGAGCCCCTGCCTAGAATCCCCCAGTGAGGGGCTGGGGTGTGGCTCAGTGGGAGAACCCCTGCCTAGAGTCCCCTAGTGAGGGGCTGGGGTGTGGCTCAGTGGGAGTTGGAGACATTCCCCCTCTCTTAACCTTTGCCCAGCTTGGCACCACCTCTGAGAGGCCCCCACTACCCTTTCATTCTCCTTGCCCTGTGTGTGCTACCTCCAGGCACGGACCCCGAAGAGACCATCCTGCACGCCTTCAAGGTGTTTGACACTGAAGGAAAAGGCTTCGTCAAGGCTGACTTGTAAGTTCTCGGGACTTGAGCTGAGGCATGCCAAGGTGGGTGTCAGCCTTGGCTCCTCTCCCCTCAGAACCCAGTGGCTAGAGGCCACAGCCGGGCCGGCACCGTTCCTCCTGACAGACCTTCCGTCTCTCCCAGGCCTTGGTGTCTCCCTCTCTCCCTGTGTGTGGAAGTGGATGGGCCGTGTGGCATGGGTCAAGGAGTTCTTCTGAGCCTTGGGGATGGAGAGGGCGGGAGTGAGCCCAGAAGGACAAGCACAGGTTGGCCACTCTAGGGTGGGAATTCTAGATGTGAGAACAGAAGATGAGTCATGGCTTTAGTGAGCATGTTTACTGAGCTGGCCTGGGGGAGATGAATAGCCTGGAGCCGGAAGAAGCAGGGGTTATGGCCCATGGATATGGGGTTGGAACGGGGAGGACTGTCCAGCAAAGATCCAGAAGCCAAGGTCCGTGGAACACAGGGTTTGGGGAGAGGACAGTGTCAGATGGGGGACATCAGTGATGAGCTCCGCATGGGATGCCTGGTAGAAAGCGGCCATAAGCAGCTCTCCTGCGGGCCGTGGGGTTGGCATCATAGAGGCGGGTTCTGCTGTGGTACAAACGGGGCACAGTGAGAGCAGAGGGACAGAGTCAAGGTCAGGGAGTACAGTCTTCTTTGGTCCCTGGAAGCTGGGCCAACCTCCAAGATGTCCCTTCCAAACCTTGCTGGGTCTTAGGTGGCCATGGCTGGTGAGATGACCCCTCCTTATCAAGGATAGGCTGGTATTCCATGACAATTCTTCAGAAGCTCAGGCTGTCCACAGAGCTTCCACCTGTGGGGGTGGAGGAGCGGGCGGACGGGGTCTGGTGGAGACGTGCATGTCCCTTTTTACATAGTGTCATCAAAGGCTCTGAGTCAGGCTCCCCAGAGTGCAGATGGACTGCCAAAGTGATATACCAGTGGTATATCAAACCAAAACCTCGGGGTCTGTGGCCCCTTCCTGATTCTTGAAGTACCAGGAGAACCCCCCCTGACATGACTGAGACTCTCTTCTCCCCCGTGAATATGAAGATGGGGCTGAGGTAGGGGCGAGGAAGGGATGTCCCTGAGGGATTCATTTGGGGAATAGAAGGAACCGTCCTGGGCTGTGGAGACCTAGAGCACAGGGCTGCTGGCCAGATAGGCCACAGAAGTGGCTCTGGTGGAAACAGAGCCTGCAAGGTCCCCGGCTTGGGCAATCTGGAAACTGTGACTGTCCCATAGTAACAAACAACGGAAAATGTGTGTCGCCCCTAACCAGGGCCTGCCGCCACCGGCGCCAGAGGATGTCCCCAGAACAGAGGCTCCACTTAGCTCTCTGATCCCATCCTTGCCCACAGAACCGCCTTAATCTTGCAAAGCCCTTCTCAGTTGCAAGGGGTACAAGTTCTCATGCAGATCTGGGTGCAGGCCCCACCTCCAGCAATGTTCTCCTGGATCCCAAGGAGACAGGCCCAACCCTGCCACATCCTCCCTCTGGGATGGCCCCCGGCAAGCCTCAGTTTCTCCCTAGATAAAGGGGATTCTTGTACTAGTGTCCCAGGTCTGTGAAGAATCAAGTTCTAAAGAGACCCATGGGAAGACTGAGCTCCATCTTCCCATGATGCTCTTGGCCTTGAACAGCATGATGTAGTCTGGGAAATGCTGGTCACGTGACAGCCAAAACAGCTGGAAGAGACATCAAGGCAGCCAAGGTGGGGACAGGCTGGTCATTCCAGCTACTCTGAGGCAGGAGATAAATGAGTTCAAGACCAGCCTGGGACACTTAGTGAAGATGTCTCAAAACAGAAAGTAAAGAGAAGCCGGGTGGTGGTGGCGCACATCTTTAATCCCAGTTCTCAGGAGGCAGAGGCCAGTGTGGTCTACAGAGTGAGTTCCAGGATATCTAGGGCTACACAGAGAAACCCTGTCTTGAAAAACAAAACAACAAAAAAGAAAAAAGAAAGTAAAGCAGACTGGGGACATAACTTAAGGGTAGAGTTTCTACCTTGAGTGACTCAGTGAGGGGCTGGGGTGTGGCCCAGTGGTAGAGCCCCTGCCTAGAATCCCCCAGTGAGGGGCTGGGGTGTG